TATCGGCCCCTATTAGCCCGCCCAATCTCTAGGTTGCCATCTAGACGCGACAACAGCAAGCGCAGAAAAGGGTCTCCGCACGTCTCGGTTTTGAGCTATGTTGCCTAAACCCTAAACCCTAAACCCTAAACCCGTTTATGGAGATTCCATGGCGGATTAATATAGGGGCCTTAATAATTAGAATAGGGTTCGGGGTATACTATACTATATTTATAATAAGGAGCCCCCTAAAAACCTTATTCTAATTATTAAGGCTCCGACCTGAGAGGGTATGAAGGATGCATTTAAGGGCTTATAATTCGGATTAAGGAGCCCCTATCCTAACACCAAGAACCTTGAAGAAGGGGGTGTAGACCCCAAACCCTAAACCCTAAACCCTAAGACCCTAAACCCTCAACCCTAAATCCCTAAACCCCTAAACCCTAAACCCTAAACCCCCAAACCCTAAACCCCATGGGCTACATTGCAGCATGTACCCGAAGGTCCGAAGAGGCCCGACGAGAGCGTAGATCACGTGTTATGAAAGGCGTAAGTTCCCTTATATACCTTGCTCCTAGGACCTTAGGGTTTAGGGTTTAGGGTCTAGGATTTAGGGTTTAGGGTTTAGGGTTTAAGGTTTAGGCTGATGCTTGGGTGTAGACCCAAGGCCCAACAGTGAGCAGTTTCACCATGAAGGCCTCAACCCTAGTCCACCAAAGCATAGAACCTGTGCGCAATCCTTAGAGGAGCCCTCAAAAGAAACGTTGAGGGGACTCTACTCGAATTGTTAAGGCCCCTTTGTGAGAACCCTTGTTGGAACTCTTGTTGTAGAGCTCCCGTAAAGGACAGGGAATCCTCAAAATGTAAGCCCTAAACCCTACGAGCCCTAGTTCCTGAAAGGAGGCCTGAGACGAGCCAACAAAGGACGCACTAAGCTTCGGGAGCTCGTAACCATACATGTACATGTGTGGACACACATACATACATATATCCATGCATGCATACAAGCATGCATACACATAACTAAGCTTTGGCTTTGCGTTTGTTGCTTGTTTAGTTACTTGTGAATCTATCCGTCGGTCCATCCATCCAGCCATCCATCCATCCATTAATCCGTCCCTCCGTCCATGCATCCATGCATCCATCCATCCATCCATCCATCCATCCATCCATCCATCCATCCATCCATCCATCCATCCATCCATCCATCCATCTTCGATCTATCAATCTATCCAGATAGTCAGTCAGTCCGTCAGTCAGTCAATCATTTAGTTGCCCGCTTATATGTTGACGTACGTGGTTCTGGAGTTCTTTCACAGAATGGCCCAGTTAGGCTACCTTTTCACCCTGCAACAACTTTGCAGGTGGAGGGTCACGGACGCATCTGAAGGATTTCGCTCGCTTCACAAGTGTCGAAAACAATGCGTCAGCAACCGCATGCTGGGCACATCCGACCGATCTTCGTGGAACGCATTTTCGCGACTATCTTAGACGACGTCGTGGGATGAAGCCGGGTGCCCTAAACCCTAAACCCTAAATCCTAAACCCTAAATCCTCGACTCTAGCGTGCGTGAATGGCTTTGCGAGTCTAAAGTCGAACAAACACCCCCTACTCATAGGCCCCATAGTAGTTGCTTTTTGGGGTTCATATTTAGAAGCCTATAAGGTAATCACAAGAAGGAACTACTATGGGGCCTATGGGTAGACCTCGAAAAGAAGGCCAGAAGTGTCTTGCACATGGGTACTGTAGAAGTCTAAACATTTGCCAACATTATTCCTTGTTCCTTGGGGTTCCTTATTAAAGTTTTTAAATACATATATATATATATATTAAGGGGCCCAAAACCCTATTCTAATTATTATGGCCCCAGATTATGCAAAGACAACACGCTCGAATCCTCCTGAGGCCCAGGCTCTTTTCATCGGGTGAGGCTTATCCCCAGGCTATGGCTCGTAGTCGTGCTATCAATCTGCGGTATTCGTTGTTCGTATGCCTGTTAGGGCTACCGTTTCTCCGGCTACAAGTCTTGTTACCAATTCATAACTGTGAACGCTGTCGCGAGTATTGCCACTGCTTGAAGCAACATATGAAAAGCACAGAAGCTAATGCACCCATGGCAGAGCAATGAGCAGTGATGTTGCCTGCCCGTTCCGCATTCCTGCAAGACCTTGCTTTGGCATTCTTATGGCCACAACAGAAAGAGCCCTAATCCATGAACCTAACAACTCTTGAAACCCAAAGCCTGCTTCGCAGAAAGTCCGTCTAGCGTCCTATTGAGGTTTAGGATTTAGGGACCGTGTTCATGAAACCCACAAACAACCCCACAGACAGCCCCTAATGCTAAACCCAAAGCTAAACTGTAGCACCCACAACAAGTAAGCCTTTTTGGGGTAACCCTTGTAGTAACCCCTAAGCCCTAAACCGTAACCCCTAATGGTGCCCAGGAGTTTTTAGCCCTAAGCTCGACCTGACCCTAAGTCCCTAAACTCGTAGCGACCCTTAGGGGGGAGGGGGGGTAGGGGGCCTTAATACCAGTAATAAGGACCTAATAATTTGAGGAAGTATAGTCCCCTACCCCCCTCCCCCCCACTCCCCTATACGGGTCCTTATAATAAACCCTAAACCTTCAACCCGTATAGTACGCTTATAGTAAGCCTTATAGTACCCCCCTCAGCAACCCCTTTCAGAAATCAAACCTTACCTTCCGCAGCTGTTGAGCACCCCAGAGTGCCATCAATTCGCTTCCCTGGGGTTTTCTGTCCATTTTGCGAGACGCGGCCTCAGCTCAGTGTTGTCTACGTGCTGCATGGGGGGACCAGACATACCAGACCGAGGAATCCTAGGCAGCTAGGCCTTAATCAAGCATAAACCCTAAACTCCAAACCCTAAGCCCCTAAACCCCTAAACCCTAAACCCTAAACCCCTAAACCCTAAACCCTAAACCCTAAACCCCAGACCCCTAAACCCCAAACCCCTAAACCCCGAAACCCCCAAACCCCTGAACC